CGAGATTTCCTAAAAAACTGCATGCAAAAAACTGTGCTCTTTGATATATAAAGAATGTAGGTACTCAACGAATGATTTTTGGCGTGGTACCATCACAGTTTTCTGTGGTACCATGTTTCCGAAACTGAAAACTGGACTCTTAATTATTGTTATTACGATTTAGGTTTAAATAAACAAATTAACTTATGCTCACATAGCGTATGCCTATTGATATTATCACATGCTACGCGTTACCCAACATCCAAGTATATGATTAACGCAATGCTATAATTTTTTGAATAAATTTAGATATAAGATGATCCTTTATCGACTATAGAATAATCAGAGCATGTATCCCATTCTGCCACAAAGTGTGTGTTGGTTTTACACAAGCATTTCCATAGAAGTCCTCATACTTACATTGTCTCATTTACCACGTGTACTATTATTGGATTTCTTCATTACTCAGAGAGCATGTTTTGTGAATGAGCAATAAAACGTCTTCTAACAATGGATTTTCACACATTTTTCGCTATTATGTGAGGTGAAGGATCTCTGTAGAATAATATCCTTACTATTTGGGCCACAAAAATATTTTTAAAGTTTCTTTGAACTAGAAGAAGAACCGACTTTCTTCTCTTTCTTACCACTGAGTGTCTAAATGGGTTGTTATATTTTCGTTGACTTGTTTTTTATTTTCCGACGGCTGCTTGTAACGGAAGCTTGTTAAATTTTGCAAGTTTTGTGGATTTCAAAATTATATTCGGGTAGAAATGCGTATCGATGATTCAGATTTCTGTGAAGTTGTAATGTTCATTAAAATTAACAAACATTTTTTTTTCCGATGTAATTAAGTTTCAAATATCGTGAAATATAAGATGAGTTATTGGTTTTGGACTCCCTATTTTGGGCGAGTTAACGATTAGTACGTGATTTAAAAAAGGTCACCGGTTAAAAGACGCAATAGATTCTAAGAAAAATATGTAATAAAACAGCGAGGCTAAAAAATTATGAGTTTGTTTATTTCCGGAAACTTGATGGGAGCGTTAATTACGGGCGTTGGTTTACTCGCGATATAAAAACCAAAATGATCAGAAATTTGGGAGCCTTTTTGCGTAGATATTCACGCGGAGCGTGGTACCGCCGCGGAAAACGCGGCTACCACTTATAAAGTTTTTTCGTAGATATTCGCACGGGCGAGTGTTATCGCGGAAACGGGCCATTTAAGTAAAAAGGCCCAAACCAAATAAAATTTGTTGCGCGTATTAAT